ACAAACACAAAACAATTGTCGCAGAAACCCCAGTAAGAACTGAGACTGTGTTGGCCTAAGCATGTAGGGATGTAATTCTCTCCATATTACAACAGCGGTCCTGGTTAAAAGCTGCTACCCTTGCTACACGTACACTTCCCAAAGCTGCAGTAAGCTTTGGGAGAAAGGCTGCCAGATTACAACCTTCAACTCACAATTAAGGGGGAAAGAGCATTTTGTAAGTACAGGGACAAAAGAAGCTATGAAAATGGTGCACCTTTGTCCTGAGAAACTGCTGCCCAACCTAAGCATTCATAGAAAGGAGCACAGTTTGGGTTCCTAAACGGCAACAACAAAAATAGAAAAGCAACTTCTATAGATCATTGTCCAAAGGGACCCCCAGTCCCAGGATCATTTGCAGCTAAACCATATCAAGGTTCTTAAACACAGCTCCTCAATCTTACATGTACTTATTGAAATCTTTCATACTTGAAATCTGGATATATTAGAAGTAATGCCTTAATATATGTGAGCAGGTTACCCATACTTCAGATGTGTCAGCATCCGAATGTGGCAATAAAGGAAATCACTCTGTACACGTTTGAGTACTTCTTTTATTTCACAAGTGGTGAACAGCCCTGCCTTCACCTGTCTGTCACAGCTAAACAGGGGAGAAGGAGCCAATGAATGGAGGGAAGGTGGAGCCAAGGGGGGAGGGGGCTGGATATAAAGGCTGGTGGATGGAGTCTGAGAGAGAGAGATTCTGGTAGTGAGAGACAGTGTGAAACTTAAGAGTGTACTAAGAGTGAGTTAGAGGTCTGTAAGAACGCTGAATGGAACAGAGAGTTAATAGAGTTTTAAAGTTAAAGTAGAACTGATTTAAATATAGGTGATTAGCAACCTGTGATTTACCTAATGAATATTAATCAGATGTTAACTTCCCTGATCTAATAAATGACTTCAGTTTTAAAAGTACACATGTCTCCATGATTAAATGGTATTAAGGCAGTAATACCTGGTGGCAGCGAAGAAAGAAGAAGGGCGAGAACCTCGTGAAAGCCTGGGGGAATAAGGGCTTCAGAGGAGATCGCCACAACAAGTTGGAGGGCTAAGCTCTAGCTGAAACCACATTGGAGATGCATAGTTCGCTCATCTGTTCTGATTTTTATAGGACATCTAATGTACAAGTTGCTTAGCAAAGCACATCTTCTTAATCATCCTTTACTCTGGCCACATGAGGCTTGCAATATTTCCAGTATAAAGAGCATAAACCTCTGCAGGTAAAAACAGATGTGTACTTCATATGGATAGGCTGCTCAGTTATAATTATAGACTGCTGAAGGGTATTTCCTTCTCCTTGTGTTTTTGTACATGCAAACCAGTCTTCCTGGAATGCTGTTTTGATTTTGCTTGCTTCTCATACTAGAATGTGCTATGTTCCCCGACACCTGCCATCATTTTAATGTTACATCACTTTTTCTAAATCTAGTGCATTTTTATAGGTCTTGCTGAACCCCAATTAAATCTTCAGAATTATCTAGTCTGTTATATTACAAGATGTCATATTTAGGTTTCTCAGGGCAATGGGGTATGGCTGAGGTAGCTGATCAAGGGCATTTTTCATATTACATTTTTTAGACAAGCAGTTGAAAATCTTAACCTATATATCTTTAAGAATGAATATACAAAGTATTAAATGAATATTCCCGTAGGGGCAAATGCAACAGTTGGTACACTTGCCACAGAGCCAGAATTGGTTGTAATTTATTAATTTTTATCCAAATGTTTTGAAACAGTGGAAGCACAAAGCAATACTCCTTAAACAATATTACCTGGGTTAAGAAGAGGGCTAACTGGAGAAAAACTGTTATTTCGCTGGAGTCTTCGACTTGAACGTCTTCCTGGCTTCTGAATTTTGAGAACCTCTGGCTTTGCTGGCACTTGTCTTAAGAAAAATATGTATAATGTATAAAGCAGTCTCGTCATTCTAATTTTGTCTCCAGCCTTATTCATGCATCAACATTATTCACTCTGTTGCTGTAAATCACAGAATGTTCATAAACATTCTAACTGCAGCAGGTCTGTTACAAACATGATAATCTCCACAACGAAAATGAATAGTAATATTGGCAGGATAATAACTCTACACAGAACCTAGAAAGAGGAAACTCTGGAGATAATATGATAAAAACAGTAAGAAGTGCAACTTCCACATAAATTTTGAAATTTTGTGGTACCAACCAAAGGGATGAAATGTTTACAAATGTTTACAAATATGTAGGAAGGACTCCCTATGCCCCAAAGACCCTGTCCAAACCAGTTTGCCCTAGACGATCCAATGGTTCAAAGGATAGCTATAAAAATTCTGTAACTGATTCTCCCCATATAACTATGCGTAGTACACAATTATCTGTTGAACACTTTTTAATTGCATTTTGTATATTTTAGCCATATAATGTTTAATGAACTGGTTGTACACTTTTAAAATTGCATTTTGTATATTTTAGCTATATAATATGTTTTATGAGCTGGTCACCCAACTGTAATAAATTCATTCATTCATTCATTCAACTTCTACATAAATTCCTTATTTTGTTGTTAATTGGAAAAAGGAGGGGAAATGCTAGTTTATATCTTTTAAACCACTACAAGTTCCATATATGAAAGTAACTGAAAATGCTTAGTGATTCATAATGGAGCACTTGGAATTATATTAAAGACACTGTTATACACACTGTCTCTTTGTTGGATCACCATCTGAAACATTTGCCCAAATTCATTTTGTAAGATTATGAAGCACAGAGCCCAGCAAAACTGAACAGGATTTATTGTATAAAAATAATGAATTTCAAATAGCCTCTTGACATCAGAATTTTGGTGCCAATCAAAATTATGAGCAAATACCAGTTGGATAAGTTTCTGAAACAGTGACGGGAACTCCAGTACACTTACTCTATAACACTTCAGTCTTACATATCACAAGATATACTAATCATAGGCTGTAAATTAATTAGATATTCCTACACCTTTGTAAGAGAACTTGTGAAGCCTTAACACATTTAAATTTGTCATAATGATTATCCTACTGTATGTGCATCCACTCATCTCTATATGATACATGCTTAAATCTCTGTATTTGTCTAGTGTTCTAAAAAAAATATCCCATCTGCTTTTGTTATTATTACTTAGTCGAGATACAATGTGTGGTGGTTACTGGAGTACATGAATGGGGGGGGGGTTGTTGCTGCATCTGCTGGCTGGTCAGTGTGCAGACAGACTTATAGAATCATAAAGTTTGATGGGGCCTATAAAGCCATCAAGTCTAACCCTCTACTCAATGCAGAAATACAAACCAAAGGATATCTGATAGGTGATTTTCTAAATTTCTCATGAATGCCTCCAGTGTTAGATACAATGCTTTGGTCCTAATCAGAATAGATCTTCAATGTTCTTATTCTGAGTTGTCAATGACACAAAAAGGTACCAGGCTAAAAATCCTTATGAAGACGAAAGTAGACATGTGATAGATAGCAATTTCCCTGGTTGGATGAAAGTCCATTTTTGCTCCATATAATATTTTCAGCTTGTTCTCATGAAAATCTGTTGAACTTGTTCTCCTGAAAATTTTGGGACCATTTTTAATTTTTTTCATAGCTGTAGGTTCAAAGATTTTCCCTTTCATAATGTTTCAAACATTTGAACACAGCATAGATTGGCAGCTGCATCTCCCCAGAACAATTCATGATATACTATTATTATGTGGGAGGAAGGCAAAAGGAACTTCACTTACTTTTCTTGGCGGGTTTGTTCCTCTGTAGTTTCCATGGCACACTCCAGAGAACTGTGGAGAGACTGCAGCTGATTCAGGGTTTCTTTCAGCAAAAATCGAGTCACAAACTGTTTCAACTTAGAAGCCTCCTGATAGTTCTAAATAACAACAACAACAGACACTAGCAAGAAGGCAAACCTTAATATTTCACAACTCTGCATGTTTTCCAATTTGTAGACCAGAGAGACACCTCCCATGGGTTATATCTGGCCCATAGGTTAGACATTTTTCATCCCTGTCTCAGAACCATTCATTATGATTTCCAGTTGTCCTTATACTGTATTTTCTTTCTATATCCACTTTTATTTCCAAACATGAAACATTTTGACCAAAGAGACAATAGCAGAATAGGATTCCATGGATTTCAAACAAAAGTGCTACAGAATAGAACTCAAAACAGGTGTTTATTTCATAGTTTTCAAAGTCAGAAAGCATAGTCTGAAGTCAATCTGTCACAACATGCAGGCCACATATGACTCACAAAGTTTTTTTTCGTGATTCCCAAGGCCCCCAAATCCCCTATGAAATTAAGTGGAAAGCCTGGAAAGCCCCTTTATAACGAACATATTAAAAGCATTTCCTTGTTTTGTCACAGAATTTCTCGGTCAGAAGACAGATGAGGAAAGCCAAGGCCTAGGTAGTGCCTCAACAGGTGGTAGCTTGAGAATGCTGTGTAGTTTCCCCAAATTCAGTTAAGGAAAGAAAGGAAGAATTTAGTTAAAAGGAATGAAATTATAAAACTCTCCTCCACACACACACACCCAGCACAGAGCCCTCACTCAAATGCACATCAAATGCTTTTATACTAAGCCAGAAATATGTGCTATTCGGTTTATTATTATTTTTTGTTCCTCCTAGAAGATCAAACGATTGCTGAAATCCCAGCTGTTAAGCTGCCCCATGAATTACCCATGTTAATTGTATACCCGCAGGCATTAAACTCATCGCCTACATTCATTTAGCACCCATGAACATCAGTCAAGACTGTGATGTCACCAATCAAAATAACTGCTGTTTTTTAAAGCCCATAGAGAAATTCTTGGCAGGACAGCTTGTCTTTCACTCTTTTTGGCACCATGCTGGAGCTGACACCAGCCCTGTGTAAAAAGCATTTGTGACAGCCTTTTGAAAGTGACAGAACTCATTTGTACCAGTAAGGCTAATTTCTGCCTCCCCTTGAATTATTTTACATGGATCCCTTAACTGGATTAACGCTGCTGCATTTGGCAGACCTAATTTCATTGCTGGAAGCTTTGATGCTCTGTAACACAAGTCTAGAAAAATGCATGGGAACGTTGTCAGGCATGGGCCATGGAATTCAAATTCTTCAGCAGACACCTGACTGTTTCAAATGATCCCCTTTGAAGAGCAGTGTTCTCTCCTAACAAATGAATAAAATATAGGCCATTTCAGGAGATACGCTTTTCCTGTATCAGGTTTGGTGACTTAAAAGATGTTTCTCACTGACGGATGATCAAAGGATGTCCAGATTCTGTAAACATTACAGGTATCTTCCTGGACAGCAATTCTGAAGAGGCAGCTTGGGGACATAGTGCTAAATTCAAGGGGCTTTATTTAGATTTCAGCACCACGGAAACATTACTAAATCCTAGAGATTTAGCATGAACTTGCTTTTGAAGATCTCACTTTGTTTATTATCAAACACCTCAATTTCTACAGGTGTAATTTACCAAGTACAGTGGTGCCTCACACAACGTTAACTGGTTCCAAAAAAAAAATCGTTCTGTGAAAACATTGTTCTGTGAAACACCATTTCCCATAGGAATGCATTGAAAACCGGTTAATCCGTTCCAATTGGAATGGATTGCCGTCCTTAAGTGAAAATCGGCATAGGAAACATCGTTGAGGGAAACGCGGTTCCCCAATTGAAATGCATTGAAGCCGACTCAATGCATTTGAATGGGTTTGCGAAGTCCCTTTTTGCTCCTGTAAAAGTGTCTTAAACTGTTTGAAACCTGTTTTAAATGCTTGCAATCGTTAGCCCACCTCCTGAAACCTACGCAAACTTAATTTGGTGTTGTTCTGAGGCGTTGTTAATTTTTGGTGAATTTTTTTATTCTCCATTGAAAGCCATTGAACGGTCCATCCAATGCTTCTCAATGAGAAAAAAATTCACCAAAAATTAACGACGCCTCAGAATAACACCAAATTAAGTTTGCTTATGTTTCACAAGCTGGACTATCGATGCCAAGCATTTAAAACAGGTTTCAAACAGTTTAAGGCACTTTTAAATGAGTGAAAAGAGACATTGTTGTGCGAAAATTCCCCATAGGAAACATCGTTGTGTGAGGCGGCAAATTTTTCACAAAAAGCCATCGTTGTGTGAATTTATCGTTGTGTGAGGCACTCGTTGTGCGAGGCACCACTGTAGTTCATGGATAAAAGAGGAGAGAAGATGCAATAATGATGATGACGTGCCATCACATCAATTTTGACATATGGCGACCCTTTCTACGGTTTTCTAGGTAGAGAATATTTAGAAGAGATTTACCATTCTGTTTTGCAGGGAGGCATCATGGGGCTGTGCAACTTGCATTAAAGGAAAAGGTTAACATTTGGTAAGGGCTCAGAAAGAAGGAAGAGTTTAAAAGGTGTTTAAATGTACAGTATGTCACGCTTAGTGGCCCATCCACACAAATAAATCCCTAATCCTCCAAAAGTTTGAGGACACACTTTTACATTTTAAAGGTCTCTTTTGAATCCAAACTCCTGTTGCGAGGTTACACTGGCAGAAGGGCATGGCCTGAATTCTTCATTGCATGATAATCAGCTGGCTTGGTACAACCAGGAATCCAAATGGTGACTTGTTAATTAGTGGCAATTTGCTGCTGTGAGTTATACTACTGCCCTTCTGCTAGTATAATTCCACAATAGAATGTTGACCTATATTTTCACACAATGTGTCTATCATTTTGGCTAGCAAATGGATAGCCATCAATTTAATAAAAGAACATTCATGTCCCTAGAAGACTGGAAATCTTTCTCCCATAGTCCTGTGGAATTTGACACCCATCAGAGTTTCATGACTAGCCTAGCTAGAATGAGTTTTTACAGTGCATCTCTGAAGAAGGGAGGATTATAGCTGAGTTGTGAAACTTATTTCTTAGTTTCTAAACTCAATCCCAAGTCTCCAACTGGGATTGGAAACACCCTGTTTGATACCCTGGTTAGCTAAAGCCAGCCAGGATAGGTAGCACTAAGCTAGATGAACCAATGGAAGTATTGTACATTCTAGACTCGGGTAGCCCATTCCCCTCCCCCCCTTTTGAGGCTGCCTGCAACAGCAGCAGAAATTGTTAGCTAATATTAAACAGTTGGCTGAAATTGTTAGCTAATATTAAACAGTTATTCTTTGGGAATTTAAGATAGGGTGAGTACTGATGCCATCTGCATGTAGAATTCTGTTTTCCTCAGTATGCTCTGTTAGTTTGTGAAACAAAAGGCTATAGTATATGGGAAGGAAGAGCTGAGAAGCAAATGTTGCTGCTTTTTATAGATGCCTATTGGAAGGCCTCATAATTGCTTTGTTCTGGTGAGGAGATAATTGTCGTCATTCATATGAAGAAAAACACAGTAGAAAAGGTGTTTTGATTGTTATTGACTAGAGAAAGTATGCTTCATTTGTGGTTTTTATATTGAAAAACATGCCAGTTGTAAATTTAAATTTCTCTGTATTGGTTTATCTGAATGTATAACTGTTTTGAGAGTTATGACTTATTATTGCCAGTAGCAATAATAAAGCACTGGTAGCTGCTTTAGCTCAGCTTTAGCTTAGCTT